CCTCAACCACGACCATCCGCGCCCAGTGTTCCCCGCCGGACCTCAACACACAATTACACACAGAACAACATACACACAACCACAAACACAAACACACAACCACAAACACAAACACGCAACCACAAACACACAACCACAAACACACACCGACAAACACACAACCACAAACACACAACCGCAAACACAACCACCAACACAACCACAAACACAGCCACACAACCACGATCACAACCACAAACACACGACCGCAAACACACAGCCACACACACAATCACAACACACAACCGGAGGACCCAAGCAGAATCGAGAACCACAAAGCTCACCGTAGTGCGGGAGCAATCAGTTCGAAGATATGCCAGAGTGACTGGGGCCGGATGCGATTCCATATCTGTTGGCGCAGCTCTTTGCAAAGAGACTTGAGACAGTCAACATCCTACAGCAAGTAAAATACATATTACTACTCCTACTGCTACTGCTACTGCTACTACTACTACTACTACTACTACTACGACTACGACTACGACTACGACGACTACTACTACTACAACAACAACTACTACTACTACTACTACTGCTACTACTACTACTACTACTAGGACCCCGAACGTGTCCAAGGTTCGGGCCCGGAAGGTCGGGCCCCGAACTGTGCACTACTATTGCTACCACCACCGCAGTAGTAGTAGTACTACTACCACTAGTACTGGTACTACCACTACTACTGCTACCACTACCACTACGACGACTACTACTACTACTACCACTACTACTACCACTACCACTACCACTACGACTACTGCTACTACTACTACTACTACTACTACTACTACTACTACTACTACTACGAACTACTAACTACTAACTACTTACTACTTACTACTCACTAGTTACTACTGACTACTTACTACTTACTACTTGCTACTACTTACTACTACTTACTACTACATACTACTACTTGCTACTGCTTACTACTACTTACTACTACTTACTACTACTTGCTGCCACTTACTGCTACTTACTGCTACTTACTGCTACTTACTGCTACTTACTGCTACT